ATTACTTCTTTAAAAAAATCGTTTTTAGAAGGGAGGCTGCTATAATCAGTTCCCCTGTGGATAATTGGAATAATTGTGAATCGTAATCGTTTTGGGATACTCTCATTTGGCATTAATCATTCACTCTGCACAAAGTTAGGTGAAATTACTACTGTAGCCACAGCTGCCCTCAGGCAGACTAATGAAAGCAAGGCTACTAAACTATGCATTAGCCGAGGCATTTCTGAGAAATAAACAGATCTGTAACAACATATAGAGACGCACCTGCAAAGCAATAATATCTCTATATTAAAAGGACCGTATGTAATATTCACTCTTAGTGATCGAAAAAAAAGTCAGTATAATGACAAGCACACTTTTGTCACCAGAATGTCACTCATGGTACAGTCCCCCCCTGGAGTATGGCTAAGAACTGGAACAAACTCTGTGTAATATGTATGTATCTGCTATCACTCAAACACATGTGGTGCTATTTTTTGTTTGAGGATTTTGTTATACATCTATATAAATTAAAAAAATATTATTAATATTATTTCACCTAGCTCATTCTACTCTGATACCAGGATTATCTGGTTAAAACATTATGGACACCATGTCCATTTTATTTTTAATTAAAAATCTTTTTGCCAGAAAAGGTAAAATATGTTGGACCTAATAATAATAATAATAATAATAACGCATCGGTTTTATATAGCGCTTTTTTGGAGACTCAGACGCTTTACATGTCCTTATTTTTTCACTCCATCCTATTATCTGGAGACACATAAAAAACATGTAGGTACAATTTTGAGTAAAATTATCATTAACGGTCCCTTTTTAAGCAAGGAGCATATGAAGTCCCACGAAGGTTATGCCATGCACTTTATCAGTGCAGTACCAGGACACTGCCATTTTCTTGATGCTATGACTAAAATATACACATATAATATTATTCTCCAGTATTTCTATTTACGTTCTTGGACCATTGATGCAAATGTGTCTTTAATGGCTTTCCAATAGCCACCCAGTGTCATCTTAATAGACAAGAGCTGTCGCTGAAAAACAACTTGATTCACATCTATCAGTCCCCCAGTTTCCACTGCATAAAGAGTATAAACAGATAAAAAGCGTGGCTACAAGAAGTCTATAAAACCTACTGGCACTGGCTACAGCCCCCCTCCCTCCTCTTTTGAATGCTGCTTTTCATTACTCGAACGTGATTGCTGAAACATTAGGAGAGCAGTTAACTAAGCCCGGCCCTTATTTTGCAATGTCTCCATGGCAACTTAAATCTATGTAGGCGCTGGAAATACCCCAATTTACCCTCATTTATTTAGCCTCCTCTTCTGCTGCTCCACAGAGGAGTACGAGTGAAAGACTGAGGGGACTTATGTGTTCTTAGGTTATCAGGCTGCCAGTGTGGGCACCGGCACAAAGAGCAAAAAGGGCTTGATTTATTCAGTTATTACTACATTCTAGAATCAGATTAAAGATTAGATTTCACCTGTGTTTTTTGAGTTAACCTTTAGTTGTTAGTTATGTGTCCGATAGATGTTTTTAATAAAACAACTGATCTATATTGTTCATGGTGCTAAAATATTCCAACCGTAATATTGGTCATACAATGCAATGTTTGTGAGGTGTCTTGCATAAGGACACAACAATGGATTGGGACTTCTCAGGCACAGTCATCCCTCTGTGGCACTTGGTGTTCCCAGCGGTCTCCCATCACAGTACTAACTAGACCCTGTCCTGCTTAGGTTATGAGGTCTGATGGTTACATACAGGTGGCATCATATTGGACAAAGCAACTTGTCAAGTTGAATACTATGCAAGAAATATGCTTGTGTTTTCAACATACACTATGTTCTAAAATTGGACTATTCCAACCACTTCCCTCAGGCAGGAGACTTCGGTCCATCAGGACCAAAAGCTCTCACCATAAGAACACTTTCTTCCCCTCTGCTGTTGGACTCTTGAACACTTCATAACCTGTCCCCCCGCCCTTTAGTAAGTCCCCTTACTGCCCTTTATAATGTCACTTTACTTTACTGCTGTCACCTTATATTGTGTGCACCATGTGCACTTGTATATTATATACAGTAATTGTAATAATTCTATTTAAAATGTTATTCCTTAGAAGTGTTGCTGATTTTTTTTTTTATTATTTCTATTTCTTATTTTTATTTTATTTATTTTTTTATTGTGCCTTCTCTACTCTTTACCTCTCTTTCTGACTGTTGCACTGAGCCAAAACAATTTCCAAGTCTGTGACTTCCTGTTACTTACGTGGCAATAAAAATGATTCTGATTCAGATTCTGAAAATTCTATATTTTAGTAAAGCGGCAACCAATGCAAATTGGTCATTCTGACCGATACATTGGTCAATCCAACCATTATCGGTTTCATGCTACGTGCTTTAACTGTTTTATTACGGGTTATGTAAATTAATTTTTAAGTTGAGGCACTGTTAATGTAGCTGCGGTAGTCCAACACAATAATTAATAGTAAGGGTGATATTTACTGTGAGTATGTGTATAATGTGTAGAAAACTTTGCAGTGACACATGAATGCATTTATCTTCAATGTTGACTGTCAAGTCAGGATCTTAGAAAGAATTCTAGACAAATGTGTCATGCATCACATGTTCTCTAGTCAATGTGAGCACATTTATGTTCCCACAGACCTGGTTAGTCAGTTGAAGATGGTGCTGTTACTGTTTTACAAGAAGACGGTATACTCCCACTTATCCACTTTTTGCTTTTACAGTTAAACATGTACATTTGATAAACTGTTGCATCTCCTCCTCAAATGGCCTCTCTCAGACACTGACACTTGTTTTGTACATTGGTCTTGGGGCCAGTTGTTTACAGCCCTCCAGATGAATTGAATTCTGTAACGCTGGTCACTCTGACTTTAGGCTTCAGTCAGTGTAAAGAAAAGCTCTTAAAGGCTTGCTGGTTCTCATGATGGGGCACATTAACCCTTCATGCAGACAGCCCATGTGAGCTTCCCATGAAAAGGCACAGCCACGTGGGCCTGTGCTGGGCTCTGGCACTGAGGACTGTCCACCGCTGAGTTCTTGTGTCAGGCAGATAATGTGATTTCCAGGACAAAGTCGGCCTTTACACCTCAGTAGCTACTAGTGAAAGCTTAAGATAAACTCCAAGCAGGGCATTTCCTCTTTTGGAATTTAGGTAGCAAGAAATAGAGGCCTTACTGAAAGAGAAAACTGCAGGTGTTATGGCTCCGCAAAGTGCCTGTTCACCTCTTGGTTTCAGGAATAAAAATGCATACATTTTAAAATTGGTATTTTGAAGAAAAAATTAGAATAATAAAGATTGAAAGCTTGCTTGGTGCTGACCAGCTATGTTGTGAGAAAGACGCACCATTTGGAAATGGTATTATATTTCGTATTTGAATTTTACTTCCACTGCCAGAGTGGACTGCCATGTGGTCTGGACTTTACTTTGCAGTTTTACCAATGTGCAGTCAAATAACCTGATGTTACTACTGTGCTACTACACAGTGTGACGTAGAAAATGGAAGTGAAAGGTTGTCTCATTTGGCAACAGCTATTATTTAAAACTTGCACTGCCACAGATGTAACTGATGATGCTGAAGCGGCCTAATAATAGAAAAACAAATGAAACAGGAAACTGGTATGAATTAACAAAGTGAAGCATCTGCTTTTCTCTTTAGTCTGTGCACTTTAAGCTCTTGTGGAATTCAGAGAATCTGGATCTTTAATTTGAACATTTACAAGAACAGATACCTGGAGCAACACAAAGACAGCTTTGGCTTTGACCCCAGTCATCCAGACCTTGAGCTTATCTTAATTTATTGCACTCAGACATGTTATGTTTATTCTGTACTAATGTGATGTTGTGCTTCCATGCATGAAACAGTGCTCACAAAGAATAGTGCTATTATTGGAGACAGTAGTTTCTAATACAGGCGTTTGTTGATCACTCAGCAGTGGATCAACAACTACTTCCACTATTACACAAGCCAGAAGTAGAAGAATGTATGACTGTTTTTTCTGGTGAGATGCATGTTACTGGAGGTACAAATCAGTGTATTTGTGATTGAGTATTGTTGCCAGTCAAAGAGTATGCGTTGATAAAGCCACATAGCCAAGTCTGAAACGGTGGGTCTGACTCAGCATAGTGTCTCTGTGGATGAATGAATGAGATAAACTGGATCAAGCTACTTTTGGAGCAGACAGAGTTTGCAGTGTCATCGCACACATGGGCTCATGTATATTATACTTTATTACAGCTAATTGGATGTATACACAGTATACAAATGACAACTGATAAAACAACACCTGTACACATACACAATACGCTACCATCTTGAAGTGGTTTATATATATAAAACACAACAAGTTTGATGCATATGAATTATGAACTTATATATAGAAAAGAACTGTGGGTTACAAAAGCATTTCTTAACAAAGTGCATGTTCATGGACTGTTTCCTTATTTGCTAATAGATTGCTGTCATTATCAAGGGGGTTCATAAAAGAGTTGACTTGAAGCAGCCTGGTCACAACATCGAAAAGACAAATCATAAACTAATTAAATGTTGGTTTTGTTGCTCATTTATGTGAGCCAGTATTCAAACTTTTGAATATACTAATTATCTTGAAAGGGATAAAACTATGGATTAATATAGCTGTGAATGGCATCTATAGGTTTAAATTTCAGATCTAAAGAAAATCTGTCAGCTCTTTCTGCAGATACAGTTCATATTTCACTGAAATGAAACACTCCTAGGCCTGGTTTAGAGAAATGTCCACTGTGGGACATTTAAAATTGGCCCAAAGCACAAACGTGATGCTGTCTGCGCAGAGGAAGAGTGATATGAGTCAAATCTGCTCTAACAGTTTACCTAGACTTCTTTTGCTCTTCTCACTTCTCAGTCCCTCTGTGTCTCTGTGCGTCTGGACAGCAGAAGGTGGACATCACATCTGCCTGTAATATCCTGCTCCTGATCATCAGTCCATGTGTTTAGTCTAACAAGGCTTCATATTGCAAAGGTCCAGTTCCTGAGGCTTCCTCCGTCCGGTACAGTGCTCTCTGGGTAAGTTCAGTCCATTGTCAGTGATGCAGCGTACGGAGCGCCTCCTAAATCCTCGACCACAGGTCTTAGAGCAGGAAGACCACTCCCCAGTATCCCACAATGGACAGGGGTCCCCACAGGCTCTAGCTGAAATGGGCCGCTCTGCACTGTGGCAGTCTGTTGCAGTACGACCCTCTATGCTCTGACACTGCACCAGACGTCTCTGCACTCCTGTCCCACACGACACAGAACACTTTTCCCAACTCCCCGACACCCAGTGGCTCATGGGAGTTTTATCTAATACGTGTTTCTTGGCCTCCACTTTGTTATTGTCCAGCACACTGTTCAGAGAGATGTGACTCTTCTCTTCTTTGCGCAGAATCTTCTCCTCCTTGCTCTCCTTGGAGATATAGTAGGAGTACCTCACTCGGGGTGGTGTCATTTTGCCCACCGAAAGCACCTCCACAGTGAGAGCTTCCTGCAGTGGTCTGATGGCTTGCAGAATCTCTACTGAGCTGGACGTTCCACTGTAGCGCAGTAAACTGCCCTTTACCAGGAGGTCCCGCTCCACAGCCGACACCACGTAGTTCCCATTAAGCAGGTATTGCCCTTGGCGGTTTTTCACAGCCAAATAGTTCTCGTCACTGACCAGGCCCCGGTATCCGCGCTGACGCACATCAATGTTGGCAGCTCCCACAGGCAGCATCACCACAAAGTTGTAGCCGTGACTAAAGGTAATGACAAGCAAGATATTAGCGGCCTTGTAAACACAGAAGGACATGGTGTGAGATGAGTAACTCTGACATACACAGGCTTTGTGAACATTCCTGAGACCTTCTTGCAGCCCTGGTTGTCCCCACCACACACTCCACATTTGTCAAATTTCTTAGTGGAGTCCAGCCTCCCGTCACAACCCGCCTTGATACATCTGCCCTGGACGCACACAGCTGTGGTGTCAGGTGAGCACGGCGTCCCATCGACCACCTGCAAAGTTCAAGTCAAAGATCAAACTGAAACTAATGATTGCTATTTATTGCCCACTAGCTGTTTGTTCATTAACTCTTAACTTTACAAATGTCTAGCTGCCACTGGCTTGTTTTCTTTTCCATAAGTGATTGGTGACAGGCTTCAAGTGTGAGCTCAAGTGGTCCCTGTATGTCTCCCTCCCTCCACTCCATCTATCCTGCCTCGGCTGCCACCAACACTTAACCTCTCTACTGCGGCGTTTACATGGCACACTTGTTTATAACAGCCAGCTATTTTAAACACACTTTCCTGTTGGAGTCACTTGAAATGTCCTATTGGGTTGTTGATGTGATGAGGTGTTAGGAGAAAAGGTTTTAACATTTTGGTATTTGGTACAATAGTTTATATCCATTAAAGGCAATGTCACCAATGAATAATAGTTATCCTCCAATTCACGGCCTAATAGAACCTGACATGGTTATTCACACAACAGCTACCAATTAACAGAACAAGTCAGCCAACAATAAACCACTTCTATCTCAACAGTTTTGTATCCAGACCGGCACATCACTTTTGCATAATCCCACCCAAACCATCTCGAATTGATTAGTATACGTCCATGCCTTTTAAAATAATCCATGAATCATGATCTTGGATTGATTTTTGCTTCTACTAAGTATCTCTCCCTGCATAATATATCATGTAATTATTGTTGGGAGTTGATATTAAATTGTACCTTTGGAGCCAGGACGTAGAAGTATCCAGTCCCATTTGCGCGGCAGATGAGCTTACATTTGTCCTTGGGAGAGACGCCAGAGTATTTGGGAACCCACACCACAGAGGAGCCCAGTCTGTTAGTGTTCAGATTTAATCCATTGAACGCTTCACACTGCTCATCGCGGAAACTCTTGCCTGCAAAGGAAAATAGTCAGCACGTTTACTCATTCTGCTTTATGATATTATAAATACATTTGAATAGTAGAAGACGGCCTACTTGACTCAGGACATTGGCTGAGGTTGCAGGAGCGATATTTGATCCGCAGTCCGTAGCAGTATTTTCCTCCATTTTCTGGGACGGGGTTGTTGCACTCTCTTTTGGCCAGTTGCACACCGCCATCACAGCTTCTCGAACAGTCCCCAAACGGACCCCATTTTCCCCATTGGCCGTCCAGCTTAACAAAACATACAAATATGTGAATTAGTTACTGTTTTAAGGTTCCAATTCATGTGGAATATTTCATTAGATTGTGCATAACATTTGAATCAATGGGTAAAGTAATCAAAGTGAAATCAAAGTGGGTAAAAAGTTCAAACACTGCATCAAGGCAATGTGATACTTTATTTGGATTCTCGAGCTTGCTATGGACTTGAGGTGTGATGTAGAGAGTCGCTGAAGAAACCAAATAATTAGTAAATCAAAAGAATCAGGCTCCAGAGCAAATACAATACTTAAGCATCCATTCATTTCTGGCACTTAAAACTGAGGAGAGCAATCTGAGCAAGGACTCCCAGACTTGACAACCCAGACAGCTCATCCTTAGGCCTGAAGGGTTGACTTCTTTCCCTGGGAGACAACCAGGCGGCATTTGAAACAGTACAAACCATCCCCCATTACATCATTTAGTTGAGTAAATGTTTGTCTATTTAAATTGTAATTTTGTTTTTTGTGGCTAGCGTTGTTTTAGTTATGTTAAAGGTATAATTTAGTATACCCTTAACATAGTAGTATACCCTTAACCCTGTAGTGCAATTTGCTCACTGCATTTAACCCATCTTGCAATTCTAATAGGGCAATCTGTAAGGATCCATCTCCAGATGTTGAAGCTCAGTCAGGAGTACCAGAGCCTGAGGATTTACCTTGTTGTACAGTGGTAGGTGGTTGTTACCATTTGGAAACTCATCTGGAACATTACTCTGTACCTTGGCTTAAACTTTTCTCACCTTAATGTGTGTGGTGGTGGTGTTCTTTTCGGCACAGGTTCCTTTGTAACAGATTTTGCCAGTACCACAGCTTGTGCCGTCTGCCCAGGGGAAGTGTCTGGTTTGGCACACCAGCTGGCCACGGGCCTTCCCTGTGCACCACAGCTTGGAGCAAGGATGCATGTACGGGCAGGGCTTGGACCCAGGACCAAAGGCGAGTTCACACTGTCGATGCAGGCTGTAGGTCGCACCAGGGAGAATATCAGGGAGAGAGAGCTGCCTCTGAGGCTGGTCTAGCAGACAGTCTCCTACATATAACAACATACAATTAATTCAAGAGTAAATATAACACAGTCAATGAGAAAAGAAAGGTAATCAATATAACTAAAAACTATGCATGAAATTTAGGACATTTCCAAAATATGCACACCAGCACTAAGCCAGGAAAAAAATGTTTTTTGGATGTGGATATGGAACATCATCTGGATCTAGGAGCTTTTTATCTAGCATTGGGAGCCAACAATCGTTGACATATAACTCTGGGGACAGCTGACATTGAGTTGGAAGTGTAATCCAACTGAACCCATGTGTACATGTAGAATGTGGTGGTCATAGCTCTCCTGGGTACATTGTGGTTGAAAATCTGCCTACCACCTATGCTGCCATATACTGTATACTACTCAAATATCATACATGGGCCTAACCAATCCATATGGTTTTAGTTTACTGTACTTTAATCACAATGACGACAACATAAGATAGTGAGATTCTGCATGTTAACCATTAGTAATTTGCAAGGTTTTAATTCAAAAATAAGAAATACATTATTTATTTCCTTTTCAAGACTTTATTTTAGCACATCACAGATCAATGGATGAACCCTGGAAAAAGTGGTATTTTTTAATCTCTTTATTTTCTTTTGGTAAAGTAATATGATTGACATCAAACGTGCTTCGTCCACTGAGTTTTGAGATATTATATTGGTGTGGGGGCAAGACGCTACAGACTTTGGGAATAGCTGTGAATACATTGGTGTAAGAAGGCTGTTTTTGGGTCTGATGGTGCCTGCTTTCTGGCACTAAAATTGTAAAGCATCATTGTGTCTGCTAAAGAAAAGATTATAGTGTATAAAGTACAGCTGTAAAGGAGGTACTATAATAATGTATTTCATCTATAAGAAATACATTATTCACAGCTCTCCTTATGGTAAAAAGGTCTTCAAAATATTTTTGATCCACATTTTTGTTCTATGGTGAGCAAGTCCACCGCCCAGATTTTTACTGCCAATCTGCAGCTTGTTTCATCCCTTCAAAATCCTATGCGGTCTTGTTAAGAGCGTAAGGCTTATGTCGCACTAACATAAACTAGCTGTTTTGCCCTGGTAATTTATCTTTACAGGCACTTCGAGTACATTTCCTGCGTTGTCCTCAAATAACCCAGCCTACTGAAATTCTGAACTGGCATGTCATGAATAAGAAAAGTGGTATCATACACCACATTTTAGAAAAAGATACATTCATAAATATATTCCACCACTGCTGCAGTGGCTGCCACCTGGTAATGTTTAGATAAAATAAATGACTGGTAAATTTAGCTATGAACGTCGGCTATATACTGGGTCAGTAATAAATTATTGTGCATTGTTCTGGTTCACTTAAAGTTTTAACAGACACAGTGGAACAGGACAGAATGAGGATTAAAATGTACTTGATGTACAGCCTGGCACAGTGAGTGAAGAGGCTGGAAGTGGTCTGCATCCAGTCACAGCAAACACAATTATACCAAAAGATTAACAGATCCACATGTGCACATACTTTTTCTTCCAGAGCTTTTGAAAGTTTAGTAGATATACATTCGTCTTTTTAATGAAGCCATAAAGAAGTTATTTGCCGCTGTATTTTCTTTGTTATCTCTGAATGGAGTTTCCATTCTTCTCATTTGAGTCTTTTATATCACATTAACAGTGCTTTGAAGTCAACCTTTCCATTTCACTGTTGTTTTGGGTGGAATATGTGGCTGTGAACATTTTCAAAACATGTTTGTTTAAATTAACAGAAAACAAGACACACCCTGGTGGTTTAACTGTCTGAGTTGCAATAAAACGTAGGAGACAAGAGAAGTTAGGAGGATAACAAAAGACATGTGATACTCATTCTTCTTTCTGATTGGATACTCAGCTTGAGAACCAAAATAAATACCATTGTGTCTTTGTGGTCAAAGTGTTTTTTTTTATTACGGAATAAATGGGCTTTGATCATCTTATTTTAATTATATTGTCTATCTTAAATAATATACTATTTGATGCATGCAATCTTATCTCTTTCTTTCCCTGCTGTAATGTGCGCAACGATGACACTGAAATTTCTCCACTGTGAGACGAATAAAGGAACATCTTATCTTATCCTAAAAGGCATTTTCACATGTTGACCTTGTGTTTGGCGACATGCAAGATTTAGATGTAATTAGAACAGAAAATCTCACATACTGTCCCTTTAATCTAAATACCAGTGAGTCACAGTGACATGATTTGTACTGTCATCATCATGGCTACTGGTTTTTCTAGCTGGGTACAATTTAAAAGTACCAATACAATAATACTACTGGTATAAAACTGTATCTGAAAAGACATAGGTGTTTCCATAAATTACTGATGAAAAACTTACAGTAATTATGATATTCTTAGCATTATAAATGTTTACAAAAAGACTATAGTGAACCCTTAATAATATTAAAAGTGCGCTGTTTTTCCTCATTCATTTTCAGTATTTTAACATCACAAAACAATTATATAAATCAGACATATTATTGCAATGACATAATAGCCCTCTTAAAAGTGTGCCATGGTCAAACATTGTGGATGCTGTCTGATTACAAGCTGCTCAGAGCATGCAACCTGCAATGAATTATGGGAAGAACAGGAAATGTTTACTGACCATGACCTCTGTCCAGGAACTCTGTGATGATGGCGGCACTGCACACGGACCACGGCCGCGTCCTGTCGATCTGGATCAGAGTGGGAGACATCATGTGGTTGTCCTTCAGTTTCCCAAACACCTCCTCACACGCTTTCACATTGTCGTGGGGCATGTTGAAGACATGACCTGTAGACACAAGACATTCGATGGTGATCTCTGACATTTCCTTTAAAACCAAAGACCACTCATTATTTAGGGTTTTAAAAATAGATTAATATAGAAGCATTTCTTCACGTTTAATGTTCTCATAGCACAAAAACAAAATAAAAGTAATATTTCCTACACTCTAAGAAACTTAAGTGTTGGATTTAATTGAAGTTAAGCAACCTTTTCCACGTAACTCAGTCATGTTATATTAAATGAAATCGATCATCATCATAAAGAAAATCAAATGTAACAATATCATTGGACTTGATTGACTTTACTTTATCAATTCAATCCAACTCTTTATTTCATAGAGTGTAACTGTGAGTGGGCTTGCATCTCCACAAACCTCAATCATAATGTGGTTCTATTGACCGCAGTCGTAGTAGTGACAGAGAATGTTCCATAATGAGGCTTTAAGGTCTTATTTGCACACCTCAAGGAGGTTTACGGAATGTTGTGTAAAAACTAGTACTAGTACTACGTAAACAAGTATTCTACGTAAAAAATTTTTTACACATTTCATTGTACATTAAAATGATATAATTGAAAATTAACTAAGATGATTACTATGAGATTTGTGTATGTAAAATATACTGAAATGTAATGATACGTTTTGACCGTTTAGATGAGTGCTAGATAGAAAGTAGATTGGAAGCAGCTATGCCAATATCATAAACATTCAAAGCCCTTTAGACAAGAATTTGTTTTGGTTTCGTAACCCATGTTTAAAAGAATAAATTGTGTAATTGAGTAACATACATGAGTTTGCATGTAAAGCAAGGTCACTCAAGAGGCTGCAGTAGTTACTTGATTGGATTTTAGATATGAGCCAGACTCTTACCACACAAATTGTCGAAGATTACATTGTTTTTGGCTGCCAATGACTTCAATTGTAAAAATATGGTCCATTTAAAGGTAAGGTTGGCTGGCTGTGTCTCCTCTCTCAATCAACACTAGCCTCATGGGGATACTGAAATTGCTAGACTTATCCTGTTTCTGTGTTTACCTTGGCCTCTCAAGTCCCTAGTAGGAGTCATAGACACTGTTACAGATAACAGTGCATATTTGTTATTCAATGACATCATGAGAAAAAGTTGTTAGTGCTTGCATAAGTTTTAGTATCTGCACCTCACACACAGGAGACATTCAAGTTTAACCGGGTTCTACATATTGGTGTGTGTTTACAGTGAACTGAAAAAAGTGATTAAAACATGTAATCAAATGTATTTATTTCTTTGTCCAATTATGGCCTACTATGCTTTAAACACTTCAGTTGAATATAATATTCCCCTTTCTGTTAATGTTTCTTACCCAGTTCATGTGCAGTGGTGAAGGCTGAGGGCAGACCGTCGTCCTCTATGACTGAGCAGCTCCTTTTTGGGTCACACATGGTCCCAACATCAGCCATCCCCAAAGTGTCGCAGGTAGTTGCTCCACACAGGTCCTGGGAAAACAGAGCCAGAGATGTGTCGTATGAATCTATGCTGTCCTAAATAACCTCTCATTTGTAAAATTATGATCATGACAGGTTGAAAGCTAGACAATGCATTGGTAATTCCCATGTTTATTTCAAATATTCAGTGTTTGGCTAGTACTGACTGTCTAAAGTTATTTATCTTGGTATGACAACTTTGAACATTTACATTTAGGATGACTGAGCCATGATATGACAAATGTGAACATGTTTAACTGTCCTCCATACACTGCTGTCTGGGATTCTCTAGTGCAGCTGCGCTCATTGTGCTGTACAAGCAGAGCCGCCTGGAGTTTCCTATACATGTGATGCCCTCCGTGTAAATAAATATGCTTCTTCCAGGCACTGGGGTCAGTGTGCATTGGCTGTGCTCTGCAGTGTGTGGGACATCTGCGGCTGCACTGCAGGTGATGAACCCCAGGGCACAATGCACAGGGCTCCAGAGGTTAAACCACTCTCAGCCTGCTATAAGCTGCGTACCTGCTTAGTAAAGAGAATGGCTGTGTCCCAATACTCTGGGTGTTTGTCGTTGTGCTTGTTGAGCTTCTTCTGCCAAGAGCAGAAGTTGCGCAGACTGAGGGCCGCGTTGCTGGAGACCTTGGGCCCTTTGTCTGTGTCACTCAGGACGGTGAAGCCCACCACCACCAGGTTAATAGAGTTCAGGATGCTGGGGTGCTTGTAAAGGCGGGCGGCCACAGACATTAAGGTCAAGACGTAATGCTTGAGGTCGTCCCCGTGGAAAGCAGCCATTGACTCGTCCGCCACAACCAGAACCTCCACGTACCGTGGGACCGAGGCGAAGCGTTTGTTCCGCCCGTTCCTGGTCATGCTGACCTCCTCCAGGTCACCCAGGTGTTTATACCGGTCTAAGGACACATTCGGGGCGTACGGGGCGACTCCGCACCTGCTCAGGGTCTCTCTTGGGGGCGTAGCGCGCGCGCGACGCTGGATGACGTGCGTCTTGTGCCCTGCTTCATGTTCTGGAGCCGAGGATGCACTGATAAAGTACTCCATGCCTCCCACTGAGAAGCTGCCTCGCAGCTCCCCGCAAAGGCTCAACGCAGCAAACGAATCCTGGTCTCTGTTTACGCGTCCAGAGTAAAAGCAGTGAGCAAAGTCTGCGCCGCTCTCTAATGTCACAAAACTGGAGTCCGGCTCTAGGTTGAGGTAAAAGTTCTCATCAAACGCCCGCAGCTTCAGAAGCACCTGCGGGGCGAAGTGGCCCTGATGCTCAAACTCCAGAGGCTCAAACTCCAGAGGATCCAGTCTTTCAGGCGTGCACCTGTCTTGATCCACGCACAGCGTGAACCCGGTGTAGAGCAACAGCAAAGTGGTGAGCACAAAAGCCATCTCCCTGTTTAACGAGGGGCTTCACGCCGAGGGTCCCATGCTCCTGTTCCTGAGGTGGGCTCAAATGGGTCCGCACCTCTCTGGTCTTGTGCTGGTCTGTGTTCTGACCACGACCACTTGCAGCTCTCCAAACATAATTGTAGCCACAGAGTCTTTGACAGAGCATCTCTCCTCCCATCGCACTCACTGCGTTCAACCCACAGACCCGCACTTCACCCGCTGGACTCATAGCACGTGACCACAACAGCGCACTGGGGAAAGTCACATACACCGATACACGGCATATTGTGTGATTAAAGAGATTAGATTTACTGCATGCAATTCAAATATTGTCACAATGGGACATTCCATTCAAGGTTAATTGAAAGGAATGTCTTTTTGGGAGATACATTGCAGTTCGCAGAAGATTATGGTGATTTAGATCTATAAATTAATACAATATGATTGAAATATATAAAATAAAGATAAGACAATAAACGTATACAACTGTTAAAAACATAGACCGGTGACAAATGTCCTCTGCACAAGTCCACCTGCTGCTGAGGGATGATGAGAACAGCACATCCTTTGGGAGCCCTCTGCAGCTTGTAAAACGTATTGCAGACGCACTAACCTCTAGCGAGTCTACATTATATGTTTTCTTTTGGTGCACTCTGGTGGTCATTGATGCGAAGAGCACCCTTGAGCTACTAGCGTCGGCCTTCTTGGTAGGTATGGTAAAATATTAAATTGAGTGAGGGAGGCTTAGCGGGAACACCTATTGCACAATGAGTTGAGAAAGTTACTTCCCATTGTCTAACCACATGACAAGAAAGGACCATTTCCGTTTTAACATTGTTCATTGAGATTTCATTTTTTTGTGCATGGCATATGTGTATATGCACTTATTTTATTATGTTTTGCCATTGTCAATTTGTTTAAAAATATGCGCAGGCGATAGTGGATTTGCGTCACATTCTTTATACCTTTGTGCGTCTGGGGCCTGGTGCGACAACACGGCTTCTTGACCCAGCATCTCTTTCTTTTCACAGACTGGATGGGGCACTTGGCTGACGCAAGCAGCCTATATATCATCCTCTTCTTTTGTTCCAGCTTTGGCATTTTTCTTGCAGGGGTTTCTACTCTATGTGGGGGTGCTGTCATTCCCTCAGAGCCTTCTTCGGGTCAGAAATAACTGGGCTTCTGGACTCCCAGCAATGCGTATAGTAATGGGCTGTGCGTCCTGCTGAGTTAAGAATAGGAGAGCAGTAGTCAAGGGGGGAGTGGCGGCTGGTTCTCATGAAGCACGAGTGGGAGGAGAATTTCCAGCAACGAAGGATATCAAAAATAAACCCCCTCGTGTCCAGGGAAGAGCAGAAAGTATAAATAGGCCTGATGCGTCCAGACTACAAGCGGTGAGAGGTGCCTGGAGAGGAGTAGACTGAGGCTAGACACTGATCAAGACTGAACACTGCCAACTAAAAACAGGACACTCATTTATTTTTATTTGAAAACTAAGAGATACTGAATTTTGCAAAAGATTTCTGTTCCTCAACAAAAGATGATTCACGCAGTTCGTTTGCTCTTTCTATGTCTGTGTTTGACCAACGCGCTCCAGTTTGAGTCTGAGGATGTGGTCCCTCATAGGATCAACTCCAGACTGAGCAGTCGCTTCTGGAAACGCAGTGAGGAGCAGCCCAGGTTCAGGCTCAGTGCGTTTGGCCAGGATCTGACGCTGAACCTCATCCCAGACACAAGTTTCCTCTCGCCTTACTTTAGCATCCAGCGGATCCGCTCTGGCCAGCCCGTAATGGACAGCACCATGAACCGGACCCATGAGAGCGAGGGCCACCTGAGGAGCTGCTTCTACTCCGGAAACGTGAACGGGGATGAGAGCTCTGTCGTGGCTCTCAGTCTATGCTCTGGCATTTATGGCTCCTTCATTACGCACGGGAAAGAGTATTTTATTGAACCCAAGCAGCGTAATAACGGCGTCCACTCCACAGAGCAGAGCCATGTGATCAAGAGGAGAGCGCTTGGCACACACTCTGGGTCAGTGCGCTTTGACCGCTCCGCGCCGGTAGTGGAGGAGACAGCGGAGGAGGAGAGAAGTGGGGAAAGTTTGACGCGCGGCAGCAGTGACGCACGCGGCCAGATGCGCAGGAGACGCTTTGTTTCCGCGCCACGCTTTATCGAGACGCTGGTGGTGGCAGACGCGAGCATGACCCACTTCTATGGCGATGAAATAAAGGTCAGGCAATTCATCCTCTCCCTCAAAAATGTTAACAATAGAAGAAAGCGCGCACACACTCTTTCACACAAATAGACACACACGCACACACCAAAGTATACATACAAACATGGCAACAATAAATAAATAATATGTTAAAGATGTACTGCTCAAAAGTTTCATTCAAACAACTTTGCAGAATCGCAAATAATACTGGTATAGGCTATAGATAAAAAAGACAAACATATACAGTCTGAAAGAATCTTGCTTAATAGTATTGCTAGAACATGTTTTGGAAATAAAAAGGAATCAGAGGGCTCCATGTTTTCCACAGGCGCAGAAAGAACGTGGTCAGGCATCAGAAATGTAAGCAATGCTGGAGCGCATTCCTCTAGAGTTGATCACAGTTTGGCACCAACTCCTCTGCATCATCCACTCAGGGCTAATACAGGCTGAGGATCAATAAGGATTTAACAATGCCACATAATAAACCCATAAAACAAATTCATATCAGACCATTTGGTTTAAGGAGTTGTCTGTTAAGGCCTTTAAAGTTTATGTAACCACTATATTCAACCAAAATCCCAGATGGTTAGAGCTTGAATGTATTGTCCAACATTCTAGAAACATATTGATGTGGAATCTAAAGTAAATTAAAAGTGAAAACTCTATGGGCATGAATAGGTTTTGGTTTGGTTTCTTCCAAGGAAACATCATAGTTTGTCTTTGACTGAATTATTACATCTTTTGTGGTAGTGCCTGAATGTTTTTATAGTTTTGAAGGCTGCTGTCTGAAGCCAACACGTGGTTCTGTGGGTGTACGCTGCACATGTGGAAATAATCTTTACTCTGCAATACCAAGCATCAGCCTGACTAAGAAAAAAAAAGTGATTTCAAATGTCATCACAGTGACAAGTGTTCTGTGCACATCTGCCAAAGGAAACAACGATGCAAATGCCACCCCATCGACCCCATGGATCTATTATATTAACGATCGACCCGCTACAATATTGCTTTATAACAGCCACAGTTTAAGGAGTTCAGTCAACTTTTTGTCTCAGCATTTTCAGATTATACCAGTTCCAAGTTCAGAAGAATGGGAATATGAGATACAACAATAAGATTCAAATCACACTATTGTATCTGGTCATGTTTGTTAAAATGGCCTCTCACAAACCATCATCAACTTTCAGTGTGCTAAATTATATGTTGTTCACAGCACTACATCCTGACGCTGATGTCCATGGCAGCGCACCTGTACAAACACCCCAGCATTAAGAACCAGGTGAACTTGGTGGTGGTGAAGATGCTCGTGGTGGAGGATGAGGAAGTTGGGCCGGGAGTGTCCAGTATCGGAGGAATGACTTTGAGGAACTTCTGCTCCTGGCAACAGCTCTTCAACCCCCCCAGCCAGAGGCACCCGGGCCACTATGACACAGCCATGCTATTCACCAGAGAGGTGGGTGGCACAACTATTGCAGCAATGTTTAGTATTTCACAAGTCATATCGCAACTGGGTTTTTGCTGAGTCTTGAAAAGTCTTACATTTCTCCAACCCTGTAGCAGTAACGCTGGGGTACCTAACTTTCAATTCATAATAAATGAAACCATGTAATACAATCCATCTCACTAGTCACTCTCTCAAAACAGTTTTTTTCTATCATTGCATGTATTTTTGGCCACTGTCACATCTTTAGGTCAGCTTTAACAGGACCACCCTCAATCAGCTCTAAACCCCAGCGTCTAATAGCCAGGAAGACTTTCTTGCAAGGATGCAAAAGATAAAACCAAGATTTGATTTGTTCAAAAACCTTTTTCATTTACAAGACTCTTCCTGCTAGGATAAACAACATGGATTATTTATGAAGAAAAACGTAGATACCTCAACTTTAAGATGCCAGCACAAGGTGTTGGTACAGAATCAGATTAGGTATATGCATTTGGGGCTTTTTTAAATACGTATGAATGAAATGACCGAATATACTACTACTACTACTATTTTGTACTTATTTGTTAGCAATGTTTACATTGTAAAGTATACAGACCATTAGTAAGTTCACCTCATGGATAAAACATGTCTTTGCTTCAATACAGCACTTACTTGCCAAAGTAATATGAAAATAACTCGCGTGACCTGTACTTCATGTTAGTGTACATCTTTGTAATTTGCTTCAGTTTATTTTGGTTGCTTATAAGATTTGCTAGTAGAACAGCAGGTTCAATCTTTTTTCAAGTGCAGTGTGCAAATAAAAAAAAAAAACATTTTTGCACAATGTTGATGTATATTTGACCTATTTTTACCTAATATTTTAACTAACAAGCTATAATCAACTAATTATTTCCACACTGTTGCAAAACGTTGCCCTGAATTTCCATTTGCACAGTTAACCTTTCATGTTTTGACACTTGAGCACTTATTCAGACGTCGCTATTAAAAGCTCTGCCCTTTCAGACCATAGTCATGTAAATGGTTTTTGGCTGTGCAACGTTTACAGTGTGTTTTTAGAATGGCCTGCGCTGGATGCCAGAGTGTGGTGGTGTATCATGTTGTCCATTGAAAGCTGGTCTGACTCATGAATCCTCTTGCTCTCAGCTGCGGCTTTGGAAGGCAGCCGCTCAGTCACAAAACAGCACATCAAACTCTGAGTCTGTGCAGGTGCATTTGACGCACGTAGGGAAAATATCCAAACTTTTCTACAATTTGCATTCTTCGATATCAGGAATGCAGAGCATACTGTATCTTCATTCAAGTCTTAGGAGATTAGTCCATGAATCTGGCAACTTTTTTCCAACTGGCCCCTACTTTTTGACAAGGTGTGAGCTGACAGTAAATTAACACTCCATATTATTACATTTTATTGCCGAGTGTTTCAGTCACAGCTTGAGTGGCGAAAGGTTTACCCGTAATTCCTGGATGACGTTAGAGGGAGGTATCCAAGAAGGGAAGTGATGAATTGAACATATGACTGTCCTCTCTGGCTACTTTCGATTAGGAAGTTATTATTCACCAAAGATCCTCTTTGTGTTTGTTTTTCCATTTCTGCGGAGATATGCTTAAAAAATATAGAGACCAGACGGGGCTCCTGGAGGATGAGCACACTTTAGGATGTGCACAAATCAAGCCTGACATGAGGATACATTGAAAGGAGCAAATGGTCTGCTGGATTTTGTGAAATCAAATGTAGCTGGAACAGGGAGTCAAATGTCTAGCATGTTTTTGTAGGCACTTGTTTTTGTGTTATGGTCTGTCCGACATGATGTACGTTTGTCCTATTGTAAAACTGAATTCTAATGCCATCAGATACAGTATATACTGTATGATAATAGAAAATCTAAAGTAAATCTACAATCGCTATCTATTTGTCTGTTTATCTGTTAAGTAATCCGTTGTGGAGTTGTAGAGGGAGCAGTCCAAGCAGAGATGCCCAGATTTCTGTGTTGGTGAACACTTTCTCCAACTCATTTTGGGGAATCCCACAGCTAAGAGTTCTCCTCTGGGGCAATTCTATACCAGGTCTTACTCAAAAAGTTGACCATAATCTGGATGAAATGTACTCTAGACTTGAACATCTAAACCACTAATCAAATCGGTTTGATTTATGGCTTCATGCAAACTTCCATATCAGATGTATTCACAGATTAGAGTCAAACATAAATATTACAACACTTCAGTAACTACATCCACCACAAACATGGATTTAGATAAAGCTTGGTTGGATCTTGCCTGGGGCTCAGTGGAGGATGCTGCTTTGGAACAAGGTGTACAGAGCCATGCCGGGCCGGGCTACAGCTGCAGCTCCAGATGGGATTCACATCACAGTGGGTTGTGGACATATCCGTCTCCAGGCTGCGCTGCCAGGCATCTCCACTCACAATGCGGAAACATTTCAGATGCACCACAATGTTCACTTCACCACAACACGACTCTCTGGAAAACTGGGGATATTTATTTATTTTGAGTGGAAACAAGACTCAGTGCGCTCTTCAAGCAATATGACAAAACAAACAAGAGAGACTTGATTAATGTAACAGCTGATCTGGAGGACTGCATTAAGACAGCAATATTTATAGTATCTGGGAAGAAGGATTTTGTTGATTTGGTAGTTTAGCAGATGGGTAATATTATGAATAACAAATATTCAACTACATATTGTGAAGCCCCTTGTTAGACTTCTTAAAACACATCTATCAATCTTCTTTACATTCGACATAAGGTCGTGGAAACATCAGTGTAAGCAGGGATTCCTCCCGCTCCACCAGGGAATCCCAGTGTGGTCCCATGCCAGCTGAGACAAGGGCTCCCTTCTGTCCAATGGAAAGGAAAGTCTTAAGAAAATATACCAAAGAAATGTGTGTGTTTGTAGGACATCTGTGGCCACGACAGCTGTGACACACTGGGAGTGTCTGATGTTGGAACGATGTGCGACCCAAAGTCGAGCTGCTCTGTTATTGAAGACAGTGGACTTCAAGCTGCTTTCACTGCTGCACATGAACTTGGTAAGTTACAAATTTGGGAAAATTTTATTTATTTTAATAGATTCTACATAGCCTACCATTGTTCTTATATGCAGGTCACGTGTTAAGCATGCCTCATGATGACTCCAAAACATGTAAGACACAGTTTGGAGACCTGGGAGGACATTATCTCATGGCCCCGCTTTTTGTGAGTCTCAACAAGAGTTCCCCGTGGTCCCCTTGCAGCGCGCTCTATGTCACCGACTTCTTTGACAGTGGATATGGTGAGTCACAAAGCAAAAAAGGCACATTTAAATAAAGCTGTGTATATTTCTGATTATACTTGCCTTTTTCAGTTACTGTTTTTGGGAAAAAGAGTTTGCAAATTTTGATCAATAAGTGTAAGACATTAATCAAACAAAGACAACCAACTATTCCACACCCCTCACTACACAATCGGTATAATATTTATGGGTCTATATTTGTATCTGTTTGCATCTCCCAATGAACGTATTTTTCCACTGAGTCAGACTGTGTGGACCTCTTCTTCATGTCGTAGCCAAAAGCAACAGCTGGTGTCAGCAAAATATGCTCTTTATCAGTTGGAAAAATTCTCCAAAGAAAACTTGAGCGGCTCAGATGGTTCATTATGATTGGCACATGACTATTCCACTTAGATTTAGCTGAATAGAAGACTGGTTTCTACTGCCTTATTTACAAGAGCTATGACGTCAAATGCATTTGTAGATTTCATGGTGCACTGATACTTTGTTTCTTCCTGCCTATTACTTCAGTCTACTGTCTTATTACAGTGGTTCTTTACTGGTGGGCCGCAGGATAATTTTTTAGTGGGTTGTGAGCCATCCCTGAGAATAAAAAAATAGAAAAGCAATTGTAGAAGTCCACCTCAGGGCACAGTTCCATTCCTTTGAAAAAAGTAAGCGTCCAGACGGTGATCACCTCCAAAATTAACGTTTTGGTCACAGATAAACAAACAAATGAACACTGGGGCAGAGGTAAATACATGTATTTACTCCACTGCAAAAAAGTAATCTAGAAATAAGTCATATTTTCTCAAAACTGTCCATAGTTCAAGTTTTTATTCTTATCCAATTAGTTAAACAAATTATTTACTTGACATAAAATGATTACATATTTCCACAATTTTCAGATGTGATTTTTTCAGATTTGAGTTCTTTTGTTCATTATTCAGCTTTGTAGTATAATTCAATGCAAATATACTATTTCGGTCCATTTGAGAATCAGTTTTTTTACCCTTAGACAAGAAACTGTAACGTCTGGATACTCTATAATGTGTTGATTGAACATGGAACAGTCCTCTATGCTGATGTTGTGTGTTTACCCTGTAGGAGACTGTTTGCTGGACTTCCCAGAGAACGTCATCCCTTTACCTCAAGAGCTCCCTGGCCTCAAATACAGCCTGGACCATCAGTGCCAGCAAATCTTCGGAGAGGAGTTTTCTCTTTGTCCAAACATGTCCGACAGCGACCTCTGCGCTCAGCTGTGGTGCCAGGAGGACGGGACCTCACAGTGCACTACGAGGAACGGCAGTTTGCCCTGGGCTGATGGCACCACATGCAGTGAGAACGGGGCTTGTCTGAACGGACTGTGCACGTCAAAAGAAGAGGTTATGCAAGTGCCGGTAAGACTCACTGATTAAAAGTTAGATTATTTATTTCAAACCTACACCGTTTCATATAAACATATCAGACACAGATTAGTAAGGAGGAAAATATTAGATAGATAACTTTATTACAGAATCACAGCCCAGATCAACACAGTCACAGACAACAACAAAAAAACTGAATAAAAACAGTCATACCAATGTTTCCACAGCAGCGAGATGTGACGTACCGCACTGCACACAACACTATTGAAAAGGGACTTTACAAATTCACCGACACAGATCAGAGAAACAAACAGATAAGAGCCCATAGGTAGTGGGATGACCAATAAATGTTTATAAATGTCCATAAATGTTATTAATTGTCACTGCCCTTAAACAAAAAAAAAAAAAGTGAGAAACCTCAAGGAGGCTCCTTACGATCGCAAATACTAATAAATCCAGACATTCTGACAGTTGTTTGCTCTGTTCTCCATCTCATAACGGATTATAAGGGACGCCGCAGCTCACGTACGACTGTGTTTAATGTGAAAAAGCCCATCATGGCTGCCTCCGCTCTGGGTGACTGACACATGTGGCAGAAATGTGGGCAGAGGCAGAAAGCAGGCGCGTGCCGAACTTCAACACACATTTAGCTCGTGCCAGCACACTGCGGGCCATAATCCACACTGTGGTTTTCGACGTCCTTGGCTCCGTGCCCTAACCTCCACTCTGGGCCTGTTTGGGTTCCTCTCTTCAGGTGGTGCTCGATGGCGGCTGGAGTGAGTGGGGGCCCTGGCAGCTGTGCTCCAGAACTTGTGGAGGGGGAGTGGAGTTCTCCTACAGGGAGTGCACGGACCCTTCCCCACAAAACGGAGGCAAGTACTGTGAAGGTCAGAGGGTGCGGTACCAGTCCTGCAACATACAGCCCTGTGAGAACAGTGGAGGTGAGCACAGGTCCCTTACATAGACCAAACATGCAGTTAAGAGGCTGTTAAGTATTTTTGACTCTGCAGGAAAAAGTTTCAGAGAGGAACAGTGTGAGATGAACAACAGTCCTAACTATCTGGATTTTAATGGTAACGCCAAACAGTGGATCCCCAAATATGCTGGGGTTTCTCCGAGAGACAGGTGTAAACTGTCCTGTCGAGCCAAGGGCAGCAATGAGTTTAAGGTGTTTGGATCTAAGGTATGTCAAATTTACCAAAGCTCTCAACATAATGATGACAATGCATTTGTTAACTGTGATGTCTGTGCAGGTAGTGGATGGCACGACCTGCGGTCCAGACACCACTTCTGTATGTGTTCAGGGACAGTGTGTGAAGGCAGGCTGCGATCAGGTCATTGGGTCCAATAAAAGAGTGGACAAGTGTGGTATTTGTGGAGGAGATGGGCTCTCCTGCAGGAAAATCACAGGCTCATACAACAAAGCAACGTAAGTGCCATCTTTGTTACCTCTTAAAAACAATGTTATGATGATTTTCAATTACTTTAGATGAATTCTATCCTAATTTTAATAATGATGGTACATTGTTTTATTTTTGTCATAATTATTTTTTCCAACTTTATTTTCCAGCTTTGGCTACAATGACATAGTCACTATTCCTGTGGGAGCTACTAATATTGATATCAAACAGCGAAGCCACAGAGGCCTGAAGCATGATGGGAACTACCTAGCCGTGAAGAGAGAAAGTGGAGGGTACATCCTGAATGGAAACTTCTCTGTGTCCACGGTGGAGCAGGACATCCCTGTGCATGGGGCTGTACTCAAGTACAGTGGCTCTTCTACCACTCTGGAGAGGATCCAGAGCTTCAGTCAGCTCAAAGAGACCATCACAGTGCAGTTGTTAGCCACTGGGGGTGACGACAACCCTCCAAAGGTCAAATACTCATTTTACATCCCAAGAGACACAACATTAAATAAATCTAAAGAGAAGAAAGGCCTTTCTGTGCATGGCTACCATCCTTCTGGCATTCCTGAGTGGGTGCTTGGGGAGTGGTCCGAGTGCTCTAAGAGCTGTGGTTCTGGTTGGTCCAGGAGGACTGTGGAGTGTAGGGACAATACAGGTTTCCTCTCTGGACCATGTGAAGAGCCTAAGCCTGCCGACATAAAGGCCTGTGGTGACCTGCCTTGTCCCATGTGGCAGATGGGTCCCTGGTCCTCCTGTTCTCAGACTTGTGGTCAGGGCGAGCGGCGCCGCACTGTGGTCTGCATAGACTACACAGGGAAGACTGTAGAACCGGACAAGTGTGACGCAAACAAAATCCCAGAGCCAGTGTCTGGAGACTGCTTCAACCCTCAGTGCTTATGATACATGTATGTCACTTTTTGCCCAGACTGCACTTATCAGCCGGTAGTATTAGGCTATAGGGCCAGATACAATGCTTCTGTTGACAACCACTATAAGTATTATCTACCTCAGGATGTACATTTGATCATATGTAACACAATGACGGTGCTGTGTCTATTCTCTGCAGTGAGAAGTTCTCGGTCTCATTTTGTATACACATGTTTAAATGGGACAGTTTTCTGTCAAACACCAGCACAGTGTAAATTTACCTCCCAGCCTCCTCCACAGATCTTCTGTCTATAAAGCTTCATGGAGCCTCCACATAAGTTATTACGACAAACGTCTCTGGGAAATAAGCTCTTGTAGTTTTGTCCATTCATACCTATGCTCATAATGTTTCTAAGATAATTTGTTCTAATTATCTGAATCTATACTAATTTGTTGGTCTACTCTTAATAACAGAAATGTGCTAAGACTAAAGGTTGTTTACACAGTGTGTAATAGAGAGAGGTCTGTTCTGACCAGAAGAACAAACGAACATGATGGAGCCGTTGTCTGCTCTTACTTTCAATTTCTTATTGTGGTGCATTAAGTCAGACACAGATCCAATAACTTGTTATTAACTTAAACAGGCATTTTGATGTATTGAGCGAGTAGAAGAATTCAACACATTGTGTAAATAACATCATATTTGTGAATTTATGTTGTATTTGTAAATGAATCCGCAGATGCTCACAGTTGTATATTTAATTATTAATTGTCGAGTTGCTTTATGTTAAAATATAATGAGAAAGAGCATTGGGCCTATATCCCTTCAGTGAAGGACTCAGCTATTATATTGTTACAGCTTTCTCTTTGAGCTATTTATTTTTGTAAGTTTATACTTTTGAGATGTAATGAAAATGGCACATGCTGCTGTCTTTTTGTAGTTTGAAATGGTCAAATAAACGCATATATTTCAATACACAGCTTCTTTTTCATTTTTGGTTACTTGACAAGCAACCTGAGACTTTACTTCTAGAAGCACAATAAGACTACATTCTCAAAACTAGAAAAGCACTGGATTTCAGGCCTCTGCCAAAAGCATAGACTGTAAATACAGTAATCCGGATCACCTTTAATGTAGAATAATTTAATGTAAATTAATTTAAAATAGGACATTCCCAAAAGCATTCAGAAACTAATGAAGGATACAGACTCCATCCCCTGATTAGCACACAAAGCCTCCACACTTTCAACATTATAAATAAAACAGTTCATTAAAAACTATGAGTCCATAAATGTGGCTTAGTTTTTACATCTTAATGTATGTATTAAAGCTGTTTGTTTTTCATCATGAGAACAACACAGTTTGTGTTGTATTAAGATATGGTCAATGAAACTATTATTGACAGCTAACTTATAGACTTACAAAATTAAATGTAATCAATACATAGATCATTTATTTTGAATGCCACACACGTGCGTAGTGAACTTGGTCATTTACACTGACCAAAGGATATTCTGTTCGTGAACTTCCTGTTTCTTACAGTAAAGTACAGTTAGAGATGCGCGTTGCATTGTGGGGATCTCCAGCTCAGAGAATCGCGGAGGACAAAGGGATGGAAACCGCACATGTACACCTCCTGACGCCCGCGTAATGTGAGCTGGATCCATGCGAGAGCTGCCTCCGCGCTGGTGTCTGGAGGCTGGAGGGCTGACAAGCGTCCTACAGGCTCACAGCTGTCCCCGAGCACCGCCGCTTTGTGTCGGCTCAGCATCCCCAGGCCCCCCGACTCTTCCGGGCCTGTGCGCGGAAGGTACGCGGCTGTGAGCGGCTCTCTGCCCGCGCACGTGGACGGTCTGCGGGTGTTGTTGTTGGCGCGAGGCTCGTGGGTAAATAGACCGTGGACATAGATGTGCCGTGTGTGAGCGTGTTAAGCTAACGGTATTAGCTATGTGCGTCATTTAGTCAAGGTAGATAAAGTTATACGGAAATGTCAGTTCAAAATAAAAGCCACCCACTTGACATTGTTTTTAGCACCTAAAGTAAATACAGCATCGAAACTAACATTATAGTATTGGTTTTAGTGACTGATGTGACATAACTTTCTCCAAATGCAACAATTTGCCTCAGAGGTTTGGATGTGTTTTACAGCGCAGTCTGTAGTGTTGAAGCCTCAGCGACGTTCTCGTAATACTCCATACAAGTTTGCTTAGTAACGTGTGAAACTAGTTATGTTTAAAAAGATTATGTTATAACTAAATGTTTTATAACGTGACCAAAGATAGATGTAATGTGTTTTGTTTCTGTGGCCATCTAGATTTTGTTTTTGTACCAGTCCATCAATCAATCAATCAAGATGTTTATTTAAGAACCCGGTCAAGAACTCAAATGGTAGTCCTAAGCAACCCTAGGCCATGAAACATATTTACAATTTTTAGAACAAAATAATTAACAGGCCAAGTATAACAGCAATGAAACGTGTTAGTATTATGGCAATTTATTCCTGATATACAAGATTGTTGTTGTGAAAGATTCCATTATTAGTCCTAATAGTGTTTTAGTCTTCCACAGCTTAATCTTATAGCTCAGCATGGACACAGCCTGGAGAATTTTCTCTTTCTCTATGTGCAGCAGCTCTCCCTGCGCGAGCCCCTTCACTTCAGCCTTTGTTTGATGGAAAATCTCATGCCTCAAAGAATCCACATGTCTCACAGACAGCTGCTGAGCATCCTGTAGTGCACAGGCCTCTTCTCAGATCTGGACTCTATCTCTGCATCTGCTTTGATTGGCTTGGCCTTACATAACTTGGCATTTTGTCCTCTGTTCACTCCATCCAACAGCACGTCTTCACCTGCACCAATCTGTCTTCTACAAGAGACACAACAATATCACTGTATCAAGTTGGTTAGATTTTATGTTTGTTTCTGTTTCAGCATTATGAGTAGTATTACGGTATTATGGATGGCTGGGAATCATATGATTCAAGACAAATACAAACACGTGGCTCACTGTACGACTGCAACAGTTAGGCAAATATTTACTACCTGCAAATATTTAAAAAAAATCTATTTTAAACACATTGATGATTTATATCGACACAGCTTCCTTATTCATATATTGATAGTTAATAGGATTTGAACAATATACTGTATGTATCATGATATTTTTGGATGTTACCTATTATCATTATTATTATTATATGACATAGGGTTGCACGATGCACTTAAAAAAAATATTGTGCCAAATTGATTTTTGCAAAGATGTGCTATAATTTTATGTAAAAATCTTGTGTTTTCTGGATGTACAAACATTGTTAGTTGCTGCTAGAGCCCTCAGTGTGGTACAGTGGCTGGAAAAACAAAACACAACATGGAGGAGATGAGTGACAGTTCCAAAATTCATATTGTTACCGAAAATGTAAAAGTTATAACACTAAATGCAGTGTTTCTGGTCGAATATAACTGTTGTGTGTCGATATCAAATCAAAACATACAATAGATTTCTTTGGGGAAGGAAAATATTTCAATACACGGTACATTGTTATTGCAGTCTGTGATACCACCATTGCTTATTTTACTAAATCGTGCTGCCCTTATGGAATATTAAGATTCTTTTCTAGTTGAAATGTACTGTATCATATAGTAATTACTATGTTAAAGTTGTGAAGTTGGAGAAACGTTTGTAAAATGCAAGTTAGATCAGGTTTATGATTTGACGCAATTAATTCAAATCCTTGATAAATGGCTGTGACACCATTGGTCTAACTATTCTCGTACTGCAAATATTATTTGTCAACTTATTGCAGGGGAAGGGACTGTTTTAAACATTTATTATAAAAAAACACTTATTAGGAATCAGTTATGTCTTAAAAGCTTTCTAATGCTTTTTCTTTCTTTCCACAGCTCTCACGTTCCCTGTGCAACCCTGAGTGCAACATGGGGGCCAAGACCTTCACTCACACATCAATCTCCCACAGTCAGGAGATGTTGGACAAACTCAATGCCCTGCGCAGCGAGGGGCACTTGTGTGACGTCACCATCCGGGTTCAAGACAAACTGTTTCTCGCACACAAGGTGGTCCTGGCCTGCTGCAGCGACTTCTTCCGCTCCAAACTGGTGGGACGTTCGGAGGAGGACAAGTTTGTGTTGGACCTTCATCACGTCACGGTCAGCGGCTTCGCTCCGCTGCTGGAATACGCCTACACGTCCACTCTCTCCATTAGCACGGAGAACATTATCGACGTCCTCGCCGCTGCAAGCTACATGCAGATGTTTGCTGTGGCTAGTACATGCTCCGAGTTCATGAAGTCCAGTATTCTGTGGAGCCCTGGCAGCAACAACAGCCTCAGTGCAGATAAACGCCATGAGTCTGTTCCGGAAAGTGCATCATCTCATTGTACGCTTATTCCTATGGATGGAAGCGTGTCACCCGTGTCTTCAGACTGCAGCGTCATGGAGAGGAATGTACCGGTGTGCAGAGAATCACGGCGAAAACGCAAGACCTTTGTGACTATGGCGTCGCCCGAAAGCCCACTCAAATGCACGACGCAAATGGTAACCACATCTCCTCAAATCACAAACCCCTCGCCTTCATTTTCCGACAATGCAGCGCAGCCCATTGAGTCGTCTCTGGCTTTCCCATGGACTTTTCCGTTTGGGATCGATCGCAGGTTTCACTCGGATAAATCCAAGCTGTCGGAAAGTCCTCGCTGTTTGGACCAGGGGGCTGCTGGGAGCTCGGAGGTGGTGGGTCGACGTCTCAGTGATTTTCTGTCGTGTGAAAGCTCCAAGGTTGTTTCGCCCCCTGTGGTGGTGGAGGAGGATGACGTGAGGGTGAAGGTGGAGCGGCTGAGTGATGAAGAGGTGCAGGAGGCCTCACAGACGGTCAGTGCATCCCAGAGCTCCATGAGCGACCAGCAGACGGTCCCCGGCAGTGAGCAGGTCCAAGAGGAGCTGCTGATCAGTCCACAGTCCTCCTCCATAGGTGATTCGACTCCCTTAACATGAAAGTAAATTGCTTTTGTAGCCAGGACAATTCTGTCTGTAGAACTTCTCCAGATAGTTTACAAATGTTTTTCTTTCGCTTCTTTCGCCTTACACCAATCACTAGTAACTGTTCAACTATTCAAATTGTATTTCTCGAAGAAGACATATTTTGTAGTTCTTGGATAAAGAACATAAGAATTAGGGTTGTGCATTGTTTAGTACCTGTCCCATTAAGATCATCATAATGAAATGATGTGGGGCTGACAAAGCCGCGAGTAGGTTTTTTCTTTCAGAGTACAGATATATTTGTCAAACCAACTGTGAATGGAATGGAGTAAATATACAGTAAATTAAAACATGCATAAATCTCTATAAATTATACTTGGGAATCGCTTAGAAAGCTTTCACAATAAGTCTTTTTTTAAAGGCCCTAATTTAAAAAAAGTTTATTTGTGACATTTAAATCAGATTAGACAGACGTCCACCTGGCTCCATATTTGTCACAGCAATATGACAGTCTTGGAAAGACATTCTTTTCCCTGAGACAGTTTGAGCTGGACTTAGTCCACATGTGCCTAACCATGCCTTAAAGACAGAGATGGAAAGTTTTATTGTCAAGACCCTAAATACAGCTTAAAAGCATTCTATTCTCTGCCATAAATACAAACATGGAAACATCTCTCATTTTTTCCTAAACACATGAAGCAAATGAAATAGTTTCCTTGAGGATGGGCTTAGGCGTAATGAACTGTATTTGTATAACCCTTTTCAACACAACAGCGTTTAAACACTGTATTTTCCTCCCGCACAGGCTCCATGGATGAAGGTGTGTCAGAGGCGCTGCCTTCAATGCAGGGCGCCTCGAATACTGGAGGACACAATGATGACGATGAAAGGTGCAGTTTTGTTTTATACAATTTTAAAATCATGTGCACATAAATCATATACAGCAAGTGCTGTATATATTTTCACTCCTCAGTTTCTTTCTGTTTCTTATAAACATCTATTATTGAGCCAATGCAGAGTATGTGGATTCATATTGTGTATTTGTTTGTTATGATGTCTGTGTTTCAGGCTCGAGGGTATTCAGTATCCATACCACCTTTACATCAGTCCATCAGCCAGACCTGGTACTAATGGTCCTGACAGACCCTTTCAGTGTCCCACATGTGGAGTCCGATTCACTCGAATACAAAACCTTAAGCAGCACATGCTCATACATTCCGGTAGGTAAACCTACAGTGTTAAGTGATAAACAAAACAAAATTACTCCATACATAATAATCTATTATGCCAAAAATCAAACATTGAGCTGTTCTATGAGTGACTCATGCATGTTATAGTAATTTATGTTCCCTTGTAACTGTGAAGCTATCGCCCACACATTTAAAGCACAAGTCAGCCATTGAAATGTTGAATATTGAAAGGTTTTAGCTTACAGTTGATACAAACACATTTGCAGTGACATAGTCTAATGGAGCAGGCACAGCTAAATCTGGCCATTCAAATGAAGTCTGCATACCACTCTCTTTTAGTAACACATTTTTGAAGGATATTGAGATGTATGTGCTACTGATCCACTGCTGTCATAATTATGGGATAATACATATGCAATCGTTCATGGCTACCATTGGAGCTACAAGGATGTCCTTTCCTGAACCTTGTAAACAGCTTAGGAGAGATTCTAGGAAATCGTCATTTAGAAAACAGGTGATAGTTATGTGTCTCCTGCTCACTGCACAAACACAACATGAGATTCTAAATTACAGCGCACCATTCCTTTGCTTCCTCCAGGCATTAAACCTTTCCAGTGTGACCGCTGTGGGAAAAAGTTCACACGGGCCTACTCCTTAAAGATGCATCGACTGAAGCACGAAGGTAAACGCTGTTTCCGGTGCCAGATTTGTAGTGCCACATTCACGTCCTTCGGTGAATATAAGCACCACATGAGGGTCTCCCGACACATAATCCGCAAGCCACGGATTTACGAGTGCAAAACATGCGGCGCCATGTTCACCAACTCTGGAAATTTAATTGTACACCTGAGGAGTCTGAACCATGAAGCCTCCGAGCTAGCAAACTACTTCCAGAGCAGGTGAGCAGTCTGTGGGCACTGACCCCATTGTTCACTCAGATCTCACCTGCGATTCTAAACAGTTGTAATATTCTGTGAGGAAGTGTGCACATCAGGTCCATTTCAATTTATGGTCTACCTTTTACTTCTCAGTTACAATTACAAACAATGTAAATGCTTCTGCTGATTTGCTTCTGATTTGCTGAGTGATTTTAAACCTGAGACGCATACCTCAAAAAAATACAATCTTGTTTGTTTGTTTTTTGTAAGAGATTTTTCTTAACCAATTAGTGGGTTGTTTTGCTCGTGAAAGCCAGAACACAGTGTCTTTATGAAGTCAAAGTGTGTTTTTCTTTCCCAGACTTTTCCACTTCTTAATCAACTCAAGCCCTCACAGGTCGGAGGACTCAAATGGGCCATTGACTCCTCAAAAGTTTTATAGTAGAAGGTCTCCGCCTGAGATCATAACAGTGTGGAAAATTCTCTGGCAGTCCTCTCCGTCTCTTGGTCCTATCCACAGCTCTCACATAAAGAGACATGTTAACGACGCTGTGTTTTTTTTAGAATATGCTGATTTGCACAAGGCTTTGTCAGATCAGCCTGAAGTCTTGTCCACAGGAGAGTCATCCTCACACATTTATCACAGAAATAGTCTCTGTTCACGCTGTTTAACTATTGCACATAGAAAAGACTATTTTGAATGTCAAACATAATCATTGATCACATTTGTTTTTTTTTTTTATTCTCCTTATTCCACCGTTTCCACTTATACTTTTAAAAGTGCTAACACCAATATCTTGGCAGCTCCAGTTAAGAGTGGATTCCATTCGTTTCTTATGAGAAATGGAGATAAGTCCACTATCCCGTTCATGTTCTAGGAATCGGTTTCAGTTGGAGGCAGGTGCCAGTACTACTCTATGGGAAAGAAGCATTTTTGAAAGAAATGTTGAAAAAGAAAATGTTTTCCCAGATCATTATTTTATAGTGATTAGATACAAAAACCGGACATATTATTCTTATGTCTGAAAGTTCTTTCTGCTGGCCAACATCTTGCATGTGTTTTTTTATGTTGACACCTATTTATATATGTTTTATAATGTATGTTCTGACAAGGGAGATTTGGAAAAAAAAGTGTATCACGTGGACTGGTCCAGGAAGAGAAGTAGCTCTAAAAAGCCGACTTTTGACCGTTACCATTGTTGCCAAGAAATATTTAGCAGTCCTCCACCACAACAGTAAACTATAGACTCTTTGGAATGTTTGGATGTCACATTAATTCAAGCTCATGTGTGATTTATGAAATAGTCAATGTGCAGCAACAATGCATCTTTACTCTTGGTGGCTTGAAGATAACTGATTATGAATATACAGTGGCCTGTGGCAACTTCTGAAAGAAATGAATAAGCACCTTGATGAATAAACATCCTTTCTTGACTCCGATGACCAACAACTAGTCCTACTGTGGAATAGATCAGGAAGAGCTATAGCCTTCTAGTCAATACCTCTTACATGTTACATGTCTATTATGCTATAATTGTTGTGTATCTTCTTTAGAGTATTATATGTAATTTTTCTTGTTGTGAACCCTGTGCTCCTGTCCGCAGTGATTTCCTCGTGCCCGACTACTTGAGCCAGGTGCAAGAGGAGGAGGAGGTGCTGGGAGTTCAGTACGACCACCCTGTCCCTGTCCCGTACACTGCTGCATCCTCCTCTGTGCAACTGCCCGTCATCTCACAGGTCTCCTCCTCCACCCACCACTGCGAGAGCTCCACAGGCTTCCTCTCTCCAGAGCCTGCCGATCCGCCAGACGCCCCACCCTCCCCCAAGGTGGCCGCCAGTGATGTCACTACGGCCCTGACGGAGGAGGTCAAGGCCGAGCACAGCGTGGGTGGCTGTTCCCCAGAGGCATTTGAGGAGGACCAGCCCGACCAGGCAAAAGAGCTGGTGCGCATTACCATAGAGTGATTTAAAGTCATCTTTTTGTTGCTCATGTCTTGTGGGAATACTATGAACAGACAGAAAAATGCATTTGGATTTGATGACCAAGAATGTGCCATCAATTCATTTTCATCTAATCTTTTAGCACATAACATTACAGTACGACACGCATCTCTTTTTGTTTGTGAAGTCAAAAATGTAGCTGCAATTTTTTCTTTAATTTTTCATTTGCAAGAAGGCTACTGATGCTTTCCCATATATCGTGCTCGCGGTTATTTCTTTTCACTTCGCTCCTATGTTTGGAAAGTGCCTGATGCATCTTTAAGTGAGAGAAGAGTCCGTGGAGACTATAAGGACCCCGTGTTTGTAGTGGTGACGCTTGTCTGTCTGGGCTGAGACTGTGTTAATCCTTCAGTGCCATCTCTATAGGCAAACTGTTACATGTCTATAATATCTATCCTGCAATAGCTTGTACTGTACTTTACTCTTTGAACGCTGTGTGTGTTGTGGAGTATGATTTGTCAGTGTGTATGTGCATATCTTTTATCAATAGTATGTAAATGTTAAAAACTTGAAACTATAAGGACAGAGTGTTCATGTTTGGGTGCAGTAATTTTCAAACATCACGTCTCTAAATTCTAAAACAACTATGATTGTAATGTCACTGCTGTTTGTTTTAATGTGTTTTATATTAGACGAAAAATGGTAAAGAATTTAATCTTGTTCACAAATGGGCTTTCAATAGTCAATGTAGCATTTCTTTTTTTGTAATGCTTCTAAATGGTAATATTTTTATCTTTAAGCCCTTCCCTTTATTTGTCAAAGCCTCAGTAATTGGTTTGATGATGCCCAATTAATATAAATGTTTAATGACTTTTACTTTAACAAATCCTGACTGAAGTCCAGTGGTGCATCTGCAGTAGTAGCAGTAGCAGATGCTAGTAGAGCGTAGGCCGTTATATGGCCCTTATTATTTGCAAATGTTATGTATTTGTAATGCCTCTGAAGCAGATGTGTGAATCCTCAAACTGTGTGAGAAACTACATTTTTCAATCGCGTTGGCTCTAACAAGTTTTAAATATTCCACTAATGTATAAACCTGGCCGCATCTCTGAGGCCAACCCTGTACTCTTGTACTATTAGTGGTACAACGTTATTTTCAGTTCCTTGCCACACATTTGATCTGAAACATAACACTTTTGGTCAGACCAAAACACAATCTGCATTTTTAACAGATTTCACACAATCTTTGTTCAGAATTCAGTCCACATAAAGACTTTTATCAAAATGCATTGATCTAAGACCCAGGGGACGAAGCAAAACACACACATAAAGAAAACATGACGCAACAGATGATCTGGGTTTTAAGCCTAAAACAGCTCTTCTATCACGTGCTGAAAATACTTCACAAACTTTGTCTAAAAATGTCATTTTTGTGGGTCTGTTTTAGGATTGTGTTTAAGATTCTGCAACACAGTGTCCTTTTCACTGTGTGTTTTACATGTGTTCTTTTATGCCTGACTGATAGTTAATCATTGAACAACATGTATAAAAGGTTTCAGAGAGCCTGCCAAAGCGATTAAAAACTGTACTACATTATAAACTGTTACTTTTGTTCTAGCTCATACATTTTGTCAAACAAAGTTTAGTGCCAATATGGCAGCAGTTATTGTGCCTATGTAATGAGCAGTCTATTTGTCGTCGCCTCTGCTACAGCAGAATGTTTGACTTGGATAGAGTTGAATGTAAATTATTGCTGTAATGAAGTGTCAAAACTACACTGACCAGTTCAAATCTCTTAAGATTCAAATCCACTTGTCACCTGGTGCCAGCTGATCTTTGACTTTCCTTATTTGTGCCATTTGCCCGCTGACAGGGCACGAATCAAGCTGAAGGACCAAATGTTTTGGGATTTGCCGAACAATCAGTTATTGCACATGTTTAATAACAGAGATAATCAAACCAAGTTGTCCACACTATTCAGAAGGCTCCAGAGACACTACAACACTGTCAGATGTTGTGCAGTTCAGAGATTAGCCTTAGAACATGGACCTGAAACTCGGTTTGCACACCATCTAAATTTTAAAAGTTCTATTTTCCATTTGTACGTCATTCTCCTAATGCGTTGTGTCTGTTTCAAAACAACTTTTTACTATGAAATGCTGCTGTTTGATGAAACGCAAAAGTGCCCAAAATATTTTTGTGAACCACTGGTGTGCAATAAATGGACAGGTGTTGTTTTTGGTCTTCGATATATAGTATAATGTCTTACAAATAGAAGAATGTATTTTGTCTCAATTGTGACTGAGGTGAATTCAAACAGTGTGAAAAACTGTGAGACAGTCTTTCAGACCAAGTGACTGCTTTTATTCAGCTTTTGTGTTTGGTTGTCGCATGTCCATATACTATTTGTGGAGTGAAGAGCATGTCTTTATTGACAATGTCTGGGTCAAGGCCTCTGTTAAGGAATCTTCCTTTATCCAAACCTCAGTGTCCAGCATGCCCGCCTCTTTTCTGTATGTGCAATGTTTTCAACTATATTGATCTTGTCTGGGACATGCCTTTATGTACATTTGATGTTGTATACGTTTTTCAGTCCACATAAGATAAAATACAAATCGGTAGCCCAATTTAATTACATTAAAATATATATATATATTTTTTGGTGACTTTTGTATTCTGATTGCTGTTTTATGAATCTTTGAATATTCTTGTTAATGTGAACAGTACAAAGGCCTTGATTGTCTTCACTTGTGACTGTCGGCAGTGTACAACAATCATACTAAAATGCATACTGTAGGCCACCTGGTTACACTGATTACTACCTGAGTCTGTTTTCAGTAGAAGAGCCCACATGTTTGATGTTGAATGTTAAAGTGCAGAAATGTTCATCACAGCTGGCTGTTCTGACCGGACCACTCTGTATATGGGAGTTTGTGGTTGTTCTTATCCTTTACTATAGTGTTCTGGCTTTGCTGTCCTGTTGTTACTGATAAAGACTTGTTTTGTAAAGTATAATATGTAAATAAAAGACTAAATACAATACAATTTTTTTTTTTTTTTTTTTCAGTTTATTACAAGTTAAGAGTCTTTCAAACCTGGCTCTCCAGTTTTATATTGTGTCCATTCAATCAATAAAATAGACAACAAAACAGATGAACACAACAACTTTCAACAAGAACAAAAAAACAACACAGAACAAAAAAAAGTTATTTTATTTGTATTTTAAAGACGTATACCAAATGTTAAATGTGATATCTAAACATATATCAAAAACAAGACAATACAGACCTGGATTTAGTGTAAGGAGACTGTTTCATAAGTGCCCCCTATTTGAAAATATTCTGCAATGTTTTGTTAACCATGGTGTTATTCCAGAGTCTCACTTCACGTCTGACAATAAGCTCTCCCAGTCCCTGACCGAACACAGGTGTGCTTAAAGAAAAGAACTCTTGGCCCATTAGAGCCCATCCACGCTGCATGTACACTTACGCCTCAGTTGCATAATGTTAGGCTATAACTTGTCCCTTGTAAACTTTTACCACAAAGCCAAAAATTAGTTTGTGGACGCATTTACAACTTGTTTACATTTGGGGCTTATCTGTCAGTGCCACAGCCCAAAGGGGGATTTTTAAACAAACTGGATACAGCCGTTTGTGAAGAGAAGAGTGATAATGCTACTCGAGGATGGAGCTGCCAGGAAAAATAAAACAGTGCATGACTAATACGCTTGTCATACATTCCCAATCAATGGAAGGGGTCGAATTCAATGGAATATTCCACAAATCACATCCGAGCCAAATTCATTAGGCCTTTTGTATCTCCTGAAAATAATACTTAGGCATTTAAAGTAAAAATTTGAAAAATTGACCGGATCGTGGACCTGGGTAATGTTACTGGCCATTTTGTGGCTTAAGTTAAATACATTCAATCCCATATTTTCCTAAAGCCACAGACGGTGCTGACAGCTGTCTAAAAGCATGGACTTGTCCACTGAAGCAGCTCTACTATCTGTCAGCCACAAGAACATCTAATAGCATTGATAAAGAGGGCTCCATCTCCAGAGTCACAAATGCACTGTTTAATTGTCTTCAATATGTTTCCACTACAAAGTGAGCAAAGCAGTTCATCAACACAATTTGACAGGAACATCCAGTTCTTTTAGACAACATTTACACAGGTCCTTTCCCATTTTCTCTGCCCACAATTTGTAGAGAAAAACTAAACAAAAATCAAGTTTCATTCACTTTAATTTTAGAAATATAAAACTTGAATCTGGTTGTCTTGGACAAAAATACAGTTAGAGTCAATGCAAATTATGTGTTTTGTGTCTCTCTTTGTGAATATTGTGCAATTGTTTGACCACTAACGACCTGTGGAATAACATAGTATCCTTATGGTTTGGGGGAAAAGGCAACCACCATTCACAAACCTTCTAGGTCAGAACTTTAACAAGCATCTGAATATTTGGTAAATGAGATTCTATAATTGTTATTTACAAAATGGAGATACAAGTGTATTGCTCAAAGTGGTTCATCATCAACCATCTCTCTCTGCTGCAGGAAATGATAAGTGATCACCCACTGTCCTTTTGCCCATGCTAACATCCCACCTGCCAAACCAAAGCTACTCATCTTTCAGTTTTCATTAAATCCCATCTTGCACAATTCAATCTGCCAGTTTCTTTTCTGGCGCGCACAGCTCACAGTGACCCTGACACAATTGCCAGTCAGCTCTTTATGGATAATTAAAAGTCATTATTACATATTTGGCTTCTCCAGAGCAATCCTAAATATTTTGTCACATAAAAGCTGTCTGGCTGTAACTCAACAATACAGGTGAATTAAAAAAATCAGTCAAAAGTCCATTGACTTCTATAACTATAATACAACAGACTCATTATGTGTAAAAAAACAAAACAAAAACAAAACAATATATACCAGTGTTCATTTTGATAAAAACCCCAAATAAAACATCTCAGAAAATGTAACCCATAATTATCAAAATTATAACAAACAAAAGCGTGG